ATCAACAACTTGCCCTACAGAAATTCAAACAGAAATACAACCGCCACCAACTGAAATACAACCAGCCCCGAGCGAATCGCTACTAACTGAAATACAGCTGACACCAGCCCCGAGCGAAGTTCCACCATCAACAACTTGCCCTACAGAAATTCAAACAGAAATACAACCGCCACCAACTGAAATACAACCAGCCCCGAGCGAATTGCTACCAACTGAAATACAGCTGACACCAGCCCCGAGCGACGTTTCACCATCAACAACTTGCCCTACTGAAATTCAAACTGAAGAAAACCCGACACAAACTCAGAGTGAATCTCCACCAACATCATGTCCTGATTGCGAAGAAATCGTTTCTAATACTGATTCCGGTGATGAAATACACAGCTGGGTTAAATACATACGACAATAAAAATAAATGAAATATTATTTTATCAGCCTTTTTTTGTATCATATTTTCTATCGTTAAATTATTATATCATAAAGACATGTATAGATATATATAGATATGTATAGATATGTATAGATATGTATATACTTTGGATATGATTAATAAATATTTTATTTATCTGCTTATTTTCATAGATTAGTTAGTATCGAATAAAGTATTTCCAATGAATAAAAAAGTATGCGCAATGACTGGAGACACTATTCATAAAAGTGGATTTTTCGCATATAGTACACTGTGATGTTATGGTCCATTCAGTGTGATCTTGTTCAATAACAAAATCCAAACCGGCCCATTGAACTCAAAATTTACTGACTTCATCTTTCCAATATTGCCAATGAATTTTCTACGTTCACATGAATAATATACCAATTTCCAGATTTGTAGGAAATTTTATTCATTTCTGTATAATCCTATCTGTGTGATATCTGAGTATATGCGTGTTACTTCGAGTATGTCGATGTGCGTTATTTGAAATCAATGGACATAGAAAGGCATTTACATTACTGGTTAAATTTAGATTATCTGAACGTGCGCGTTATTTCGGGATTATTTTAGGTGGTATACGGATACAGCGATCGAGGTATTTATGATTAGCTCCAATATATCAAAATCATGAGGATTACAGCAAAATGAACAATACATTGATCCGTATGTGAATAAGTTTTTTCTAACTCCCAGTGGATCAGGATATCTTTTTGTTATCTGGTAGTAGAGACCTGCATGAGGCACGGGTAAAAAATAGGCATGCACAAAATTCAATCACGTGACAAACGATTAACCAATTAAAATAGGTCACAATTATAGTACCATATTTTATAAACGACCAATCATGATCAATTATTTCACATGATTTGTAATCATATAAACCATTTCAAAAAATCTTTCAAGATACACGATTAATGATATGAGTTTTGTCAAGAGAAAACCACAGTTCGGAATTTCAAATATATTTTTTAACGGGCACAATCTACATAATTTATTAAAAATTGTGTTCAGCAGAAAATATATTGGAAATTCCGAACTGTGGTTTCTTCTTAGCAGCACTTATATGCCTACAATTTAATAAAAAACTATTATATAAATATAGGTTGTAAAGGTATTTTACATAAATTATATTAAATTATATATAATTAACTAATTATTAATTAATAAAATATACTTGTTTTATAAAATAATATCTTTAATATTATTTTGTACTACTTATAAATATCAACTTAAACATTATTATCTTTTATTTGTTTAACTTGTAAAGTGTAATTTTTTTTTCTAAAATAATTTTTACAAGTAAAATTATTATTATATTTGTTAATACAAGTTAATCTATATATTGTTATTATTTAATATGAGTTGATTTAGTTCATTTTTTTGCAAGATGCAGTTTGTATGTTATTTTTTACAAATTTAATGTCACATGTTAACCTAAAATGTTGTTTGAATTTCTAATCTGTTTTTTTTATTTGCAATGTAACTGAAACTACTTTTTTGTTTATTTGTTTCTACTAAAATAAGTTTATATCACTTTTTTTTTTTTATAATTTTTTACTTATTATTTTTTTACTATACTTATAATTAAAGTTTACTATAATCTAATTATTTTTATTTTAAAAACTTTTTTTTACTATTTTGATATATTTATTATCACTAAGCACTTAATTTATGTCATAGCTGATATTAATTTTGGCTAATATTGAAGTTTATATAATAATTGGCCAATAGTAAGTTATGATTAAAAAATTCAAAACAAATATTAATTTTGAAACATTAGAAATTTGCATTGAAGCATTTTTAATGTATTAACAAAAAAAGTTTTTCTTTGTAATTTATTATATAGTTTACTGACCTCTAACCTTAATATAACCTTTAATACTAATTTAAATACTAATTCTAATATAAATAAACTTTGTATAGAACAACAAATTTTTTTATTATATATCATATAAACATTATATTAGCCAAATTTAATATTAGCTATAACATGTTTTTTAGTTTCTTATAACATCTTATATATTAAAATTTTTGCTTTAAATAAGTTATTTTTGTTATATAATTATTTTGCAATAATCAAAGACTATCTTCTAATAAAACTAAAAAAATTTATTTATTTACTTTCTTTTTTTTTTGTTTTTTTTTTTTTTTAACCTTAAGCAGTTACGCTAGTACTTTATTAAGATTCTTGAAACTATTTACATTTATAATTATATAGAATTTTCCAATACCTAAGTCTAGTATCACTCGGCCACCCTATTGGTACTTAAGTGCAACCTGCTGCACTATCTCAGTTAGAGATAGACTGCTCATCTAACTACTTAAAGCCATACCAGAAGGGTTTTCCCTCTTCTGTGACAAGCATATTAATTGTTTTTCAAGCTTCTTTTTTCCTTTAACTTGTTTTTTCTATTTCTTCTTCCTATTTAGAAATTTTAAATAAGAAGATAATACAAATTTTTAACAGTACTATTAGATTAATAGAAGTCTATAAAACATTTTTAATAAGAATAAACTGAATAATAAGATATATAGAAGAGCATATAACTAACTAGACTATCAGAATCACTAAAGAAAAAGAATACTAAGATATATCAGATTAGACTATCTGAATTAGAAGTTTGAGAAATTTTGTTAGTTTTTAATTACAGTTAATAGAAAATAATAAAAAAAATGTCAGAAAAATAAATATTGGAATTTAGATGAATCTTAAAAAATATAACAGTTTAATAGTTAAAGCAAAAAAGATAAGAATAAATATCAGAGCAGAAAATCACTAGTAGAAAGTACATAGTTATAAAATAAGTATAAAAAACTTAGTTAGAGTTAAATCATAAGTAGCAAGTAGTAGCACAATAAATAAATAGAGTTTAATATATTCAAACCAACTAGTAGACATAAAAGAGAAGAACCTAATTATATGAAGACAGCTCAAAAGTCTTCTAGAGCTGTTATGTAAAGAAAAAAAAGCTAAATGGTTCAGTAAAATAGAAAAAAAGATGTTAATAATACAAACAAATAGAAAAATATATAACTAATACAAGATTAGAGGCTACAACATATAGGTGCTAATGATTAATTAGACAAAGATATCTGAAGACAAAAGGAAGAAATAGTGGATTGTACATGGACCAAAGCACAATTAGCAACTTAGTAAAATATCAAAAAAGAAAAAGAAAAAAATCTTAGCTAAGCATTAGTTATTACAGAAAGTAGAAGACAAGATATATATCAAGATAAGTAAATGCAAATAATACAAAAACAGAACAGAACAAAGAACAAATAATTGTGAAAAGTAGATAAGATGAAACAATAATATAAAGGCAGTTTTAGAAACATTAGTAAAAAAAAGCAGTAACAAGATTAATGCAATATTAGAACAAATACTAAAAAACAAAACAATAGAAGAATAAAAAAAGAAAAAAAAAGTCTAATTAAGTTAAAACAAGTAAAAGAATTAGAAACAGAATTAATCAAGAAACAAAAATTTGATAGTAAAGTTACAGATTACATAATAGAAGTTTTAACAAGAAACAAGAAAAAAACAAAAACAAATATACTCTTTATACAGATAGAGCATTATATAAAAAGAAAGAAAAAAATAGTATAAAAAAGATAGGCATTAGTTGGGTGCAGGTTAGTAATAGAAAAAACTAACCAGAAGAAGAAATAACACTGAAACTTGAAAGTTGGCCCTTAGCAACAACAGCAAAATTAACAGCAATATGATTAGCAATTTTAATTATACTAAAAGAAAGTTGTATAGAAGTACATACAGATAGCCTTACAGCATTAAGACATATTAACAGAGCAATCCAAAAGATAAAAGATGACAAAGTTTTAAAAAAGAAAAATGCAATATAGATAATAATTATTATAGGTTTACTCAAAAGTAAGAACAATAAAATAGAACTAGTTAAGATTAAAAATTATAGTAATGATAAATAGAATAACAGAGCAGATTTACTTGCAAAAAAAGAAGCAATGTGTAAAAAAACAATATTTACAGAGAAGATCAAGTGTAACAAGATAGAGTATCACTTAGAATGAGAAAACAAAAAGTTGATATACTAACAAGACTTTTTTGCAAAATAGTTACAAATGCCAGAATTGAAACTAGTTGAAGAGAAACAAATCCAATTTGAGTACTAGAGCCAGAAACTAAGAACATT